GCCCTGAAGGTCCTGCCCATTCTGCCTGGCAATCCTTTGCCCACTGACGTGTTCGCACCCCAGCATCCCCTGGAACTGCACGGTGCCTGCTAAGGGTGTACCAGGAGGGATCTGCCCAGTGACCCTCACGTGTGCCAAGGGGAATATCTCATCCCCCACCCAGCTGCAGACCCCCAGGGTTACAGGAGTGCCTCTGAGCCTCCCCTTGGACATGGGCAGCTCTCACCAGACACTTGTTGCAGGGGAGGAAAACAGCCCAACATCACAGGGACCAGGCACCACCACCCCCATGGGCCTCAACTCCAACCCATGGGGGTCTCTGGGAGTGTGCCTGGGCCCAGTGGGGGAAGGTTGCTGAGCTCTAGCTGAGGCTGCAGAGCAGTTGGGTTCTGCCCAACTTTGTCTCAACCAAACCTCTCTGACCCTATGTGCTGGGCTTTAAACTTTCTGTTGTGCCACATTAAGGTCACAGAGGAGGGGACCTTTCAGCATCCCCACAGCCAAGCACCCTTGGCAAGCCCTCTTGTCCCCATGCCAGCACAAGGGCTGTGCCCGCTCTCTGGGTCCCTTCAGCAGATCTGCTACAATGCCACCATCCTGCTGTGACATGAACCAAACTGCTGCTGCTTTCCAGTCCACGCATGGCTGTGGTGGCCAAGCTGTGGGACAGCAGTGCATGAGAGGTGCAAACAGCTTGGTAGAGGCTCTCTTCACCTGGTGGAGATGAGCTGGGACACAGAGATGAGCACATCCCTGCAGCCCAAGTCCCCTCAATGCACCCTGATGGTTTGAGGACGTTAGGCTAATAGCTGGACTCAATGATCTCAAGGGTCTTTTCCAATCTAAACGGTTCGATGAGGATGGCTTGGTTTAGCTTGATCTTTACAACACCAGGATTTTGATTGGGAACAAACCCAACCGTGTAGTCTCTGAACCATGTACTCATCTGAGATGTGAAGCAGATGATCTCAGCATTGACACAAAATTGAGCCCTCCAGAGAAAAATACCATGGAGACACAACACGCCAAGCTGCTTCCTCAGAGGCCACTGTGTGCAGTGGGACCTTGGTCCCTTCCCACCAGTTCCCAGGCAACATGAGTGCTGCGACTGCAATGTTTTGGTTTCCAGGAACCAAAACACCACCCCAGTGAGACCTGAGCATTTCCCAGCAGTGCTGTCACCTTCCCACTGTGGCAGGCAGGGAGCAGAGGAGAACCCTGCAATGTTCTCCCCCTAAAATCTGGCCAATGCCAGAAAGTCATGCCTGGTGACTGATCACCCTCAATTTAAAAACCAGACTAGCAAAAACCATAGGTGGATTTAAAAGAAAACCACTGTAATAAAATCCCATTGATGATGGCAACAGGTTTTTCAATTTTGGATTATTTGTTCAAGGGGATAAATCAGCAGATAAATGAGATAAATCAGGGATAAATGAGTCCTCTCAAGCATTTCCATGTGCCCTGGTTTGACCATCTCCCCACCGGTTGCCTTAAAGCAGTTAGAGGCAGGCATGGACTCTGGCAGCAGGAAGCAGCAGGGACCTGTGAAACACCTGCACAGCCCTCTGCCAGAGCCTGAGCAAGCACAGCCTCTGCCCTGGGCACCTCCCGAAACCTAAGGCCACTCTTTAATGGGAATTTTTCTCTCAAAGGGCAATACATTTTTATGAAGATCTTTCTCTTTCCTCTTTTCAGCCTCAAACTGATAAAAAAATGCCATAAATCTTCTTACAACTGCTTTTCAAACGCCTGGTGAATTCTTTTTCTCAATCCTTTCCTACCTCCCCTCCCGCTCCCCTACCTCAGCAGAAGGATCAGCAAAGAATAATAATACTGCATGCAGGGAATGCCATAAACACCCATCCTCTGTTTTCTTTATCTGTATCAAAGAAACATTGATCTGTTGAGCCTCTTGAAGGCTGATATTGATCTAGACTTCCACCACGGTCAATACACTGTGGATTTACTGTAGTCAGATTAGTGCCAGAAGTTGGTATTTGCTTATTGCTACAATCTGAATGTCTCATAGCTCCGTGTCCCTGGACTGCCAGGCCCTTTCTGGTGGGTTAATCTAACCTCCAGCCAGAGAAAAAGGATCTTTTTTTCTTACCCCAAAGGGTTAAGAAAGCATAAACACAAGTGGACACCCCGAAGGAAAGGGGGAGCTCCCTAAAGAAGAGATGGAAGGAATGGGGAGATATCACAAACCCTCCAGCTCGGCCACCTTGCAACTACTGATTCTCCTGCATGTGATTTTCTAGGTAGACTGTCATGTTTATCATGCCTTGGGGTCTTTGTAACTTTATAGAGCTCTGTGATCCTGGTCTCGTTCATCTCCTTCCCAGTGTACAGCTTCTGGCCAGTTTCCTTTCTCCTTGTAAGCAAAGCTGATCCATAATATTGAACTGTCACATTCCACCTTTGCTGTCGTAGAGAATTTTCATTAGGGACAATGCAGCTGGAGATGGAGATGAGAAAGACCAGCAGGAGTTGTCCGGGTAATCATCTGTGTGCCCTGTGAAAGCTTTTCAGATATTTTCTTGTCCTTAATTAGGACAAAAGCTAGACATACAAACTTCCCTGAATGAAAAATATGAAAACATTTTCCATTGAGATAACTTCAACACGTTCCCTTCTTATTTCCACTTTTTATTTTTTAATATAAAGAGGTTTTTTTTGCCAACTCTCATTAGCTTAAAATGTTTAAATGAAATAGTGATTTGAGCTGAATGCTAAAATACTTTGAATGTATTTCTTGCCTGAGTTGGCATGATAAAAACTTTTCCTTAAAAGTCTGCTGTGCTAAATGAATTGACCTAATCCCATGAGAAGATTCAGCTCAGTAACTCCCTGTTTTAAAAGGAATAAAATTGCTTCACCAAAATATTCAGCTTGAGCCCACGTCTGGCCATCTTCCAGCTCAGAGGTGAGCTGTGAACAAGCGTGGCTGCACTACATGACTCCTGTCATGGCCCAGGGTACATCCCTTGGTCTGGGGTCATGGGATCCCACCTCAGTTTTTGTGGGAATCACCTGGTTGTGTCTCTGGCCCTCAATTCCTCATCTATAAAACACTAGTGATGGTATTTCCTGCTCTCCCATCTACTGATCCTGTCTGCTCACACTGGGAACTCTTTGGGGCAGTCCATGCCCTGCTCTGCTTAGCCCCAGCCGTGGAAGGCTGCTGGGCTGGACCTGGCCAACCCATTTCACTGCTACTGCCACAAGTGGATTTCATGTCAAGTCCACGTGTTGCACTTCTCCTCTCCTGCTGGAAGTTAGCAGAGATATGGCTAGGGAAAATTGGAGGGACTGAGCCAAGTCCATGGTAAATCCTGTGATCCAACTCCACCACCAGGCACCACAGAATGAAAGGCTTCCTGCTGTGCTCAGAGCCAGGGGGAAAAAAAAAAAAAGAAAGGGAAAATAAACCAAAAGGAAGAACTGCATGCCTGGCAAAGCCATCCAAAGCCACCCCTCCATCCACACCTCCCCTCCACTGTATGGATAAACACAGCTGCCAGCAGAGCCCTCACGCTGCTCAGGGCTGAGCAGAAGCACATGCACACCCCTCAAACACCACAGCTGGGATCTGCTGACCAAACACTGGCCTTCCATGGGGCTGCAGATCTCAGCCTGCCCCACTCTGGTTGGTGGGATTTGTACCATGTCCTAGACAGTGGGGAAAAGCCATCACAACATGTTCAGCTCTTGGGACCGAGCCACCAGGAACGGAGGCTCCCTGAATGCTGCCCATGCCTCATGCCCCAGGCTCTCATGGGACCAGCCACACACAGACAACAGAACTCAGGAAATGCAGAAAAAATAAAATTAATTAAAAAAAAAAAAAGCAGAGTTTTTCCCTCCCATGTAGCTCTACAGTCTTTAAGTGGTTTGATGTCACCCTTCCATCCCACCACGGGTGGTACCCAATTAAAGAGGTCTTAAAGCAACTTCTTCAAAGCCCAGTTTCTTTGCAAGAGGACTGTGTTAATGATGATGCAGCAGTTCTGGGGACAAGGCTGCTCACTTGGTTGCCTAAAAATAAGCTGTATTACTACTTTTTTTTTGTGTCTGGGTTCCCGTAGTGCCATGGCACAGCAAAATGGGAAAAAAGCCTGGTTCTTGCCTTCAAACATGGTTAACAATCCAAAACTGTAGAGTTTTTGTGCACTTCTTCTCCTTTTGGAGAAAGTACAAAGTTACAAAAGAAGGGAATGAGGTCCTCTCCTCTGCAAACAAGCCCTGCTTCAGTTTTGGACTTTTCTTTACTCTTTAAGGCAGTTGAGTGGCACACCAGGGAGAGATGCTGCTGTGGTGGCAGGCAGGGACTGGGGCTTCCCAGGGCCAAGTGATGACCCAGAGCAAAATGCTGGCTCCAGGGCCAGTGAAGCCTCTGGTATCCCTTAGGCAGAGTTAATTTTCAGATTAAAATGGCAATTTCATTTCTTTCATCTATCTGCTTCCTTTGTATCAATACCCTTTTGTCCTACAACCTACTTACCTGCTTCATTTTAAAATAGATGTAGATATTGTCCCTCTTTTATGGAAGATTTATGAGCTCTGTAGGTTTGCTTTTACAAATATTAATATTATATAAGCTGATGGGCTTATTCAACTGCCACAGGCGAGAAAAAGCCTCAGTCAGCAAGTTTCCTTCCTGAAGATTTCTTTTTAAGGGTCATAGGTTGGCATTTACAAGAAGACAAACTAGTTCAGGATAACAAGGAGAGGATAAACAGGATAAACAGCAAAAGAGAAATTAGGATAAGCAGAAAAACTCTACCCAGCCAGTTTGGTGTTTCTGCCTGCTCTTGCATTATTATAATGACCATGTTTCTAAAGCTTAACCACAAAAAAAAAAATCAGGGTTGTCTTCTTTTTACTTTTCCCTT